TCTGTGACCTAATAACACGTTGACGACATTGTGCAGCGCATGCGCATCACACCTTGAGCACCGTGTGGGACCGTGTGCAGCGCATGCGCTGCACACACAAAATATTTATTTTTTTCGCGCATGCGCTACTTCTTTTCTAATTTTTTGCATCTATTCTATAGACCACACCATAATGACTAGACACGGCGAGGTTCATTGAATGGTTGAATATGCTCCTTTTTAGCGAAGGTTTTCTAAGCCCTACGAATTTCCCAATTGTGTTCATTCCTAGTTTCCTTTATATTCTGACAACCTTGGTCATAAAAAAGAGTAGTAGAAGTAAGTACAGACCTACACATATAGCAAGATATATGTTTTTAGTGGAGCAACCGCGTCAAAAATAATTTTGAGGTTCACTACAGCAAAAGCAACTGAAACTTGCCTTTTCATTGCCAGAAAACGTCAATTCGATCGAACTTTTACAGTTGTTCCTTCTGATAAGTTTGACACATCGAATATCATTCGAAACATTTTGTTGCATCCGAGTTTTGCGTATTAAAGCTCAAAATTCACGGATTTGATGTGAGGCGGCGGCGCCTGCAAAATCGCCGTGGTCCCACGCGGTGCAAAAACCCAAAACGCGCGTTGTCGTCAACGTGTTAAGAAGTATATCTTACAAGTACTCTTTCAATTCGGTAACTTCACCGATGCTGATGTCTTAGTGATGGTGTAAGTTCTGACTACATCTGTGGAGCAAATTGCGCGATTCTTCTTATTTCTGACCACTTTCGAGTGCAATAGTGGCAATCACGAAGTGAAGTATCGTGATGCCTCCATTTTCATGTCGAAAGTGCGCAGTATAAGCAATTACTCCGATGGCCCATTGTCCTCATCCACCGATCTCGTCGTTATACCTTCACTCCGTGACATCTACTTTGTAACTATAAGTATCTGAGAGTTGGAGTTGCCAATTTCCTTTGATCAGATTTCCGCATATCACTGTCATCGTGATAGCTCTGCTCTCAAGGCAATTATGGAGGGAGACAAGAGTTTTAGGCAATGCACAACAAATTTTATAGATTGGGCAAGGCTTGAACGGCTTCATCGGGTTAATCATTCATCTGTGTCAGCAGCCGGTGGTTTTCGGATGGGCACGCCGATTCCGATATTACCTACTCTTCCCAAATAGTATGCTTACCGACTCCAGTGTTGTCCCTTGTAATAGGACTAAGCCATAGAAAAGGGAGACGGGATGGGTAAGCATTCACTACTTCCCAAAAATCAGCCTGCCCGTACGACTCACATAACGCCTAAGGTTCCTGCTCCTACATTAACACATTATATATACTCATGCCTAAGATTTTTACTCTTTTTTTTGTACTCACTCATGTTTGATACTGTACTCAAGCACCCTGTAGGCCAGTATTTTTGCCTCTGAAAGATAACCAGATGAACCGTAGCATGTCAAAGTAACGAGGAATCCGAATGGCTCGAGTCGAAATGCTGAAGGCGCCAAATGAAGACTGATATGCTCAGGAAATCGAAAAATATTCCTGAGCAACACAGTATAGTTTGGTACCAACAGCCTAAAACGTCGTACGGGGAACCGATGAGGAGGTTTGTGATAGGTCGCAGACATAAAACGTAGCCTCAGCTGATGAAAATATGCAGTAATGCTTCATTAACAACCCTGCGCACAGAACCCACCGGATTGTGGACCGGTTGGCAACCGGACAGGGAGCGCCGCATGCGACACGCGTTACACGACCCTCTGGAATTATAGTTAACACCAATGCATGGCAGGTACGGATCCACGTTCATGGGAAGGTTTGAAGTGAATCCTGTTCACGTTCGTGCGTTCGACACGTGGATCCGTACCTACCATGCATTTCGTCACAAAAACTTCCGGTCCCGCCCACTGGTCCATGGTCCGTGGAAGATTCCTTTAAGAAGTACAAAAGTGAAAAAGTCAAAGAATGATCATTAATGATGAGTCCTACGAGAAACGGAGCAAAAACGACAAACTAGTCACTAAAAATGGCATACTATGACAACATCTCTTCTTTATTTATTTCCTTCCACAAGACTTACCAAATTTTAGTACTACACAGAGTATGGTTCTCAATTTACACGTCCCCCTTTAAGTTGAAAGAAGCCTTGTAACCGCCTCAGCGGTTGTATGATATCTAATCCTTTTGGTGTGGAGGGAACCTGGTAGTAAGTAAGAATGCGTGAGCCAGGGGGAATGGGGCCAATTCAGGGGGGTGGGGGTGTGTGAGCCACTTAACCTGTGGCAAAAGTTTGGGCCTTAGTGTCTGGCCTTGTGAGGGAGACGCAGAGGAGCAAAAGGATTAGATGTCACAAGACCCGCCTTAGCCAGCTGAGTGCTGATTGATCTTTGCGTTGACCGTGGAGCAGCTTATCTACTATTGAAATTTGAACAAATATTCAAATGATTATAACTTTCTTCAAATATGACGAATTTTCAATCTGAAAGCAGATTTGGGAGTTTTGTAAAGAGCTCTTTCTAATCAGTGTTGAAATTACAAAAATTTATAAGAAATAACAAATTTAGATTGACACGTTGACGACAGAAGCAAAGTTTCGACGAAAAATAAAATTTTGAGATTTTGGGGCAGTAATTGTGAAATAGTGCCAAAATTTAATTGCATAAAAGTCTTCTAAACCATGGAAAGTTTGCATTATGCTTTGCGACGTACCATGCACGCACACCTGCGCAAAAAGCTATCCAGCATTTTGGTGCTTTCTCAGGCTAGGACCCTAGTTCCTTCATAACCTCTTTCAAGCCTCTCTTTTCATGACTATCGAATAGGATCTCTCAAACACCAGGCTACCCAGAGGATCAATCAGACAATAGCTGAGGGCGCGCTCTCTTTCTCCACGGGACACTGGGGTTCACCTTATTGCTGAGCTCGTACCTTTTCTTGAGAATCGCTCTCGTAGCGCTTCCTTACTGCAACGCGTGAATCGCGGGTCAAACAAATCGCGAGCTATGAGCGGAGCCTTCAAACACTTATGAGGCGACGTGACGTTCAGTCCTGTTCCCACATCACCCGAAAAATGCAACAGATAAGGCATACTTCGTGGAGGCGAAGCGGAGCAATCGTTAAATCCTTCCCAATCGCAAATCTTAGTGCCACTGTGAAACAACTGTAGCTATTTCCAAAATGATACTCAAATATGACTAAAATCACCTTTATTTTTGCGCCAGGATAGACTTTATGTACAACATCACCGGTACTACGTCCTGATTCTCGATCGAGGTAATGCGAGTGAACGAATATTGCACGCCCCGTGTAGACCTGCACCCACACATCACCGTTTTCTTTAAACGATAATCGTATGCCATCTCCAATAGTTTGCCTATAAGTTGCAGAACAATAAGCACGCGACGGTAAACGGATGAAGCAGAACAAATCAGAAACCAAAGTGAGGTTGTCTCACTGTAACGATCAACTTCTTCGAAAATGATATACTGCTCATTAAAAACCTTTCCACGTATAATTTCCTCATAAAAAGCCTTGCGATCTTTTTTGTTCCATGCCATTCGCTGAGAAAACCTAGTTTTCAATCTACAGATAACGAAACAGGCGAGCCCATTTATTATCCCCTCCCAGACCACAGTATGGCATTATAACCATCGTGGAAAATCGAAAAAAAAAACTAAAAATGATGCTTTCCACCTCACGAGATGACAGTAGTGCTCCCGTAACGGATTGTTCTCACGTCCAAGACAATATCTATTTGAAGCTTGACCGAACCCGCCGTCGATATACATATCAGAGTGCTTCACCTATAACTAGCGAATCAAATTTTTCGATGCATTAAAGGAATCTTTCCCATAAAAATTCTGACTCTTTCTCACCATAAATCACTGGCTTGAGACCCATCGTTCACGATAAGAACGAAAAGAACAAAAAATTGCATTTTGTTTGGTAAACAATTCGAAAAACCGGAAGGACTGCTACGCGTTCAAATTCCCGCCGGACATCTGTCACAAATGCTGGCGGCGGGAACGCTTCCACTTGGTTCTTGGAGTGCTGTCACTAGAAACTCTTTTTGACCTTTTGACTTATTGCACTACATCTCACACTTCTACTGCATCCTATTCTATCGATCGTTTGTCTCTATTCTCCAAAATCGCACGCTTAACCCGATTCTTTCATTGCGTCGCCTGATACGTGGCCGAAGGCGCACTTCTTTCCATGCCCCGCCTTTGGCTCCGCGCGACTTACCTTCGACTGTCCATAGAGTGTAGTTTTTGTAAGTTTGTTTCTCTTCGGAAACCGAATCTTCATGCGTGAAACTTTGTGTGCTGTTTCCAGTGATCACAACTGACATATTCATGTTGGGAAAGAGTGCAAGAATTTTCCGCGCAAGATTCCTTTAAAAGTAATGCCCTTGATCCAAGGGAAAAAAACCAGCATGTATAGGAACATATTTTGATCAAAGTGTTTCTTTCAGCTATTTACCTATGGAGTACAAAAAATGGCGGAGCGAGACATAAAAGAACGTGGGATAGTGGAGAATAAGTTGGTAACGGCTTTGGAGAAGCCACTTCGGGGATCACTGGAAGTATTCTTTGTTCTCGACATTACCCACTGAGCTATAAGCTATAACGGGATTGGTAGCCGTACATAACGCCTGTTTCTTGAAAGACTACCACGGGATTTGCAACGCAACCGCTCCCAATAACTGCGGAGTTTAACTACGCTCGGTAGAAAAGTACCTATCAAAATATGACTAACCTGAAGCCTTCCAATCTGCACTTCTTTCTCGTAATAGACGAAGCATCCCCAGTTAGAATCAACTGAACCTTTCAATAAGCATGATTGCAATGGAATTTTAAAAAATTAATAAGATAACAAAAATGTAGATAAAACAGAAAAGACCATATATTACGCATAGATCGATATAACTACATACCAGGGCATGATGGCGGCTCAAAGTTATTCACTTTCAACTTGTTTCCAAGCACGAATTCCGCATTCACTGGAACACCTCGGAATTACTTCTTTGCAAATGCTAGCATAGAGAAATGGAAGAAAAAAGCTAAGTGCGTCTCACTTACACAAGTTGCCATACGGGTGACCGGGGAGGGGTCGTGATAGGGGTTTTCTGTCATTGTCATCAGGCATGACACTCGGTGCGGTGTTAGCTTGGCTTGAGTGAACACACGCACTTGGCGGCTCTTGTACAGTATTATCGTCCAGTCGTCGTCGTAGTGGTAGAAGAAGATGAGGTTGTGACTGTGCAAGTGATGACGGATCCACGAACGCAGACTGCCTATGTTGCTGAAGATGCACACTTTGAGGACTATGCAAATGTGGAGACGTCTGTAGGTTGACGTGCAGCTGACGATTTTGAAGTTGTTCGGCATGTTGCTGGTAGAGTAGCTGTTGAGCGCTAGTCATTAAGGCTTGCTGTTGTTGCTCCTGTGTTGAATGGTTTGCTTGGTACTGGTCCACATCAAACCGGAGATGAGAAAAATCTGGTTGAGGAGGTCGTTGCGGCTGCTGAAGGATCTCATTCGGAGGTAGCATGGCAGCGGCCTGAATGAAGGCTTAAGAATATGAAGAAGACGGTTCAGTTTGATGGAATGGTCATAGGTTTATACGCCTATCGTAAGATTTCTAAAAGAAAGTGTCAAAAAATCTTACCACGGCTAATTTGTCTGGCACAGGAAACATCTGCCCACTTGGCATTCCTGATGGATGGATTATCTGAAATGTAAGCATTACCAAAAGTTGTTCGAACCAGTATGGTGATAGGACCCAAAAGAAGTATGGATGGCTACAAAAGGGACAAACAATAGAAAAGGATCCCTCAAACTAATGAACAATCGATCCTCTGAAATGTACTACAAGGACAATGAAATGCCTAAAGCTGTCACGTAAGATTAACTGGGAGCAAAATGACATAATACGGGTTTTTTAAGCCTTCTGCATGAGCGCTGAGAAATATCGAAAGCCTTTGGAGCAACTAAAGTCAAAAGGTGATTCGCCTATTTAAGCTCATAGAGACTACGATCGTAGCCAAAACAATGCACTGAAAAACAAAGAATAAATGAACGAATGAGCAAATGGCAATTTGTAGTAACATCACATTGCGAATTTACCGAGAAAAAAAAACAATCAAGGAAGTAGAAACAATTCAAAAGCTTGATGCGTAACGCGTGCTGCATATGTGCATCATCTCTCAGGTGGATCTATTCGGCAATGATTAGTGAGGGTTTCAAAGTAGGGTGAACCATGGTCGAGAACTGCTCGAAATGGGGTCGAACTTGCCTTGGTGGGAGGAGGAGTCGTACTTGCTATTTTTTATGAGATGTGAATGGTGACAGTAAAAAAATAGGCAGGAAATAAATAGCAGCGTAAAACTTCATCTGCTTCTCAGGAGGACGCGGCTGTCTCCAGCGATCTGAACCTCGCTCTTCGGAGGGAGGAAGTTCCGTTCGTTGGAGACATTGAAAACATGCCGAAAAAAAGGTACGGTAAGGTATCAAAGGATGATCAAAAAAGGAAATTGCTAATAACGAGCTGCCCTCCAGTCTCGCTCACGGTCCCTAAACTCAAACAAAATTATTGTCATTCGACCAAGGGAAGATCCTAGCCGTTGGTGAAGTGTCCACTTCAGCAGGTTTAGGATTTCGTACTATCCAATCGTCTGCAGAATTCCATTACGCAATTTGACTCATTTCCGAAATTGTAGGCCCCGACTAGAAAAAATCTTATCATCGATCCAATGCCAAAATACGATGTCATCATCGAAATACACAACTACCTAACGAATATTAATCCCTTATGTGTATTTAGGAGTTATCGTGATCTTGAATTATAAAGAACTCCCGAGTTTGAGCGCGCTATTTAGAAAAAGAATGGCATTTCCCCAACTACTATTTTTAATTTTGAGGAACTATACCTCAAATGTACTAGTTCCCACGGACTTTGTATCGACTATGTGAATTTGAAGCAATTTCGTTATTTAATGGCCGCACTAGCTCCAAAATTGAGGAATGTTGAAAGATTTGACCCCGACGCGGCGGCGAGTATAAACTGGCACAGGCCAACGAAACAACGCCGCTATAAGCAATAGATTATACTCCAGTTTTCTTGCAATAAAGGCAATGCTAGCGTTTTTATGCGGAAGAAGGGTAACTAGCAAACTACGTACCGGTTTTGCTTGACCCCATGTGGAGGCCTGGGCAGGAGGGTAAGCAGCAGTGAACGGAGTTTGACCTGAAACGAATAAGAAGCTTCGCAATAAACACAGAAACATCACTTGAGAAAGAGAGCAAAAGAAAAATCCACTCACCTCGAGGAGGAATTTTTTGAGACTGCTGTTGCCCAAATGGAGCTCCTGCGTTCCAAGTTCCTTCAGCTTGGTAATCTCTAAACAAGCGGTATCTCCACTGGCGCCGAAATAAATCAAGGTAAGTAGACACATATCTGCAATAATCTTGCACAACTGTATTTCTATGAAAACCCCCTAACGACTTCGTCTCTCCAACAAGCGTCCAGTGAAAGGGCAACTTACTTTAATCGACAGAGGCGTTTACATAACACATGAATCTTGAGCAAGCTTTCGCAGTAAGTCTTGGTGAGATGTAGGTCGTTCTAGTGCCTCTAAGCGCGGCCGTAACACAAGAATATTACATATGGATTAGGAACTCTAATAATTCTCTGGGCTGTACTTACACGATGCCGAACACAATAAAAAAACTGCGTATTGCGCCTAATATCCATCAGCAGAAAACACCCGTTAAAATGGCTGCAGTCTGTATTACTAATGCACAAAATAATAGATCAGAGTGTCTTTGAAGTACAAAAGAAGTAAAACGGACCTGTAAAGCGCAGCAAGCCTATCAGAATCAACATCGCTTCCCTCTGATGGTGAGCGATGCTCCAGCTTTAGCGACGTCAAGTCCAAGTTGCACAAGTTGTTAAGCGTTGGATTCATAATACGTTCGCAATGATAAGGATTCACACACACCTAAAGAACAGTACCCATACCAAAAAGTACAAGAGAAGCCGTAAATTGCCGGTGAGGCCGGAAAAGCAAGCAGATATTTGTATGAAGTTGAAGACCAGAGCCAAATGAATACTCAATCTTGAGCGAAGATTGCGCATCTCTACTACTAATCTGACACGGAGAGAAGATAACCATTAGTTTTTCCATAAATAAATCGCCCGAAGGGAGAGCATGCTATTGCAATTGTTCCCGCTGTGGTTCAATGAAGGAAACATGTCAAAACCTGTCACATGTGCTAAAGATTCAAGGCAGCTGACAAAACAAAGCAACTCAGGAGTGCTTATTGGGGTAAGGGGGAGCTATGTTTGGGCTGCTGTGACACAAGAGAGCACATCAGACTGTTTCATCTTCTCAAGCTTTCAGGCAGCCACAAACACAATAAAGCAATTCATGAAGTCCAAGAAAAAAAATCAAAAGAATTGGGTGAAGAATGAGGGTGGTAGTGAAGCTTCCGACATTCAAGGAATTGCACTTTTTAACATGCTCTGTTTTGTGAGCTGCCACTTTTGGAAAGTTAATTCTAAACTCTCCCCTGTGTTCTCTGCCGCAAAAGGCCAGAGCACAGACGATTAGAGAACGGCGCCTGGCTCGGCTCCAAATCCCAAGAAAGAAGGTGAGAGCTCTAGGACTAAGCCTTGGAGGGAGGAGGGACTCCGGAGTGGGTGAGCCAATTACATGTGGCAAAGTTTGAATGTGTCAGATCACAGTAATCATAAGCCGCTGTTTAAGCGAGAGAGCGCAGGCGAGAGCATCAAATGGAGGCGCTTGAAGTACTGAGTTCAAGTTGTTCGTAGACCGAAAAGTTTAGCAGATTTCGCAACTACTGTACTGTTTCTCATCAACTACCTAGAAGCTTTGGCAGGAATTATCGTTTCTGACATGTTTTTCACCCGTTAGCAGTAATATCCCTTCTTCGAACAACACCCCAAAAAATGCAGCGACCAGACCGACGATCAAGATCATTGTGCAATTCGAACGCAAAGGTTCATAAATAAGATACTTACCGAATCACACTTCAAGTCGAACGCGCATTCACATATACTGAGATGCCGCAGTTCGTTTTTGTGCAAATCTGGCCATCGAAATACGCGAGCATAGACCACGTGAGGAAAACCTTTTCGGCCAGCTACCTGAAATCGATAACAATATCATTTAAAAGAAGTAGGAAGAGTCAACAAAGGTAGTGGAGAAGTGGAAGTCCAAAAATTACATCTGACACCACAAAAAAATTCAGGACTACAGGGAGTGCGTACCAGGGTGAATAACGGTCGAGGATTTCCTCGACCATAGCTCTCTACCATGCGAGAGTAGTGCCGAGAGTGAACATCCGCGCGGAGAGCACAGACGGCACGCCATGGCGAGTGTGAATGTCCGCGCGAGAGATCGTGTCTGATCGGGCAGAGAATCCTCGACGTGCCGTTGAGGAATCCTCAAGCGATATTCACCCTGGTGCGTACTAGGATAACTAGTATGAAATATGGCAGGATACTTATTGTGAAGTCCACCGTACAAAGAATTTTGAAAACTAATGAAGAACGGGACGCTGGAACGGACCATGACCCACAAGTTTGTCAATCCTGCTCTCAAATGAAACACGTTGTAGCCAAATGACTCTTTGGCCTGATGTCAGCTAAGGCTTTTAATTCTGCCCAAGCATCTTTCATCGAAGTATTTCCAATTACAGATGTACGTTTGAGACAGGGATCTGCTGGTCACAAACGGCCTTCGAGAAAGAATGGCAGAGACAAGCGATTATACTGCGTTGCATGTGCATATTTTCTCATAGTACCACCTCAGCGATTACAAAACAAAAATGTAGAAGAATATTACATCAAAAGGTTATTGAGCTGTCAAGAACTACAGACCTGCAAACGACCGTCGAGCGTCCGTGCTATAGTCACACACTTATCCGCTTCTTTCCCTTCACTTCCACAACAAGCAATCAATGCATCCAGTTCGTCGCGTTTATCTTTTAGTTTTTTCGTCAAGGATTCAATGGCTTTACGAGAAAATTCTTCGTCTGAACTCTGTAATGAGTAAATTTCATAAAACATGTGGTGAAAGCGTCCGCAAAAGCATACCAATGAACGTCATCATTCTCAATTAAAATTAGAAAAACCTCATAATAGAAGACTATTCAAATGACTAGTATACGGTATACTATTACATTTTCCATAAAATTCAATTAATACCTAGGAGGGGATATGGTAATAACCACACTAATTACGACGACAGGACACGCCCGCGGGCACTTAAGGTATTTCTTCGAGATTCAGACAACAAAACGCCATTAATCAGGATTCGCAACAAAGTTCGAAAAAAACATCGGAAAAATAAATTACGCTTACCTTATTGAACTGCATTAGATAAGCAACAATTGTGGTGCATGCGTCATTGGCACAAGGCCTCGAAAGCGGGTGTGTGGGATCGTTCGTTTCTTTAATGGTCTTGCAACGACGACGTTGTTGCTCTGGCACCGTAGTGGATGACGATGTTGAATCAGAATGCGGTGAGGTCGCTTGCTGATCTGCTAATGAAAAAGTATTAAAATAGAAACAAGAAATGCAAAAAACAGGTGTTTACTCCCAAAGCTACGACCTTAACGTCTCATGGAGGAGCGAATATCAATTCAACTTCAGGCACACACGTGCAGTCGCGATTTGGGTTCAGAAATGGAGCCGGTAGCAATGACTACAAGGTCATTGGAGCTATCCGATCTGAACTGTAATGACCCTTTCCTTTCCCTACCCTACCGGCTTTCTTGAAGTTAGATAAGTTGGCTCGGCACTCATGTCCTTAGGGGGGACATTCAGAACAGAGCATTCAAAAACCGCTGGTAGGTGACACTAGGACTAAGCCCAGGACTGGGAATAAATACAAGAGAGAACGATGGTTGCTCTCAAAATCCTATCCCCTCCCTAAAGCTTAGTCCCAAGTTCTATCAGTGGCCCACTCATTTCAATGTCCCCCCCCCCCAAACGACATGAGCGCCGTTGGCTCTAACAACATGAAAGTATTCCGAAGTTTTGCATTGTCGCTGAAAGGTAGGGCCCCAAGTAAACGAACGAACATTCCATCCCTCTGCGGTCAGTGTATTAGTGACAGGTCTGTCTGAGAGAACGAATACTGACTTGTGCATCGGCTGGCTTCAACAACTACATACAGTATACACCAAATTGCATTGTAAATGTCACTACAGATGTGAATTAAGGTAGTGCGTGGCGCATCCCAAAAACAGACTGATCAACGCTGACTGCTCTATCGTGTTAATCTACCATCACGCACTGCCAACTTTCTTATTCATCAAACCTCGGTTTTGCTGTCATTTTCGGATATATCCCCCTGGGGGAAGGATTGAATACCATACAAGACAGATAACAAAGGCCGCGGATTCACTGCTACCGTAACCTGCGTTAGCATTGGTGCGCGCTGTAGCAAGCATTGGCGCGCCCTTTAAGCGACACAAGCATCAGCGCGGGAGCAGTGGTCAACCAATAAGTGAGAGGACTAAGCCTTATGAAGGAGGTAAGAAAGGAGAGATGCTGTAATGGTGTGCATATGCGAGTGTGCCCACAGAACACCATAAAAACCTGAATCACCAGGCCCTGCGGTTGATAGGTGATTACGAGTATTCGCTTATGCCGCTGGCGCCATTTGTCGCCATTTGTGGCCACCTTGTCACGACGGCTGTTTTCACTAAATTCGGCGTAAACATTACATTCGCTTACATTACATTAACATTACATTACAGAGTGAGGTGAGCAAGGTGAGTGGATCACCTTGCTCACCTCTGAGTCTCCTCTCGCCAAATGCTTAGTCCTGATAGCGATCAAACCAGTGAGAGGGCGCAAGCGACCGGAAAACAAGTACCAAATGGCGCCAACGTCAAAAATGAATATCATATTCGTAATCAGGGCATCGAATTACCCCTATGAACAAACTTCCGACGAAAAATAAAATTTTGAGATTTGGGGCAGTGGAATGGTACCGAAAATTGCTTCGTTTTTCAGTCACTGGGCGGATCGGACTAGTCGTGGATAAATTTGCTAATGGGTAACTTTCGCTAAGTTTCAACGTCGAGTGCATAACCAATAATCATGATGATCTAAGCCGCAATTAACAACCAAATTATGAGAACTACGAAAAGTAATAATCTGAGTGCTCTTTTCCAAGTTTTTCCTTGACTGGCTTGCCTGTGGGGCCGGTGGGGCTGCTAGGGTATGAACCGCTCTTCTTTAATCCTCTCTCAGGACTGCCTACTCTGCTCTATTTTGTGCTCCTTTGTCTACTCTTTATTCCACCGCTTTGTGACTTTCCCAATCTTTTGCTCTTCGTGCTAATCCTTGCGTCGCCTAAAAAGCGCGCCAATGCTTGCTGCAGCGCGCACCAATGCTAACACGGATTACGGTAACAGTGAATCCGCGGCCTTTGTTATCTGTCTTGTGCCTGATATTCAAATGGATATTTGCTGGACAGCACAATTAACATTTGCATGGACAACTGCTTATGGTTCGATGTTTTGAACGGATTGACAACCTTTAAATGCATGAACATGACTCGAGTTTTGTGAGTTGCTCCTTAGGCTCAAAGAATGACCATTATTGATGAGTCCTACCAAACGAGCAAACGAGAAACAGACAAAAAAACGACAAACTAGCCACTAAAAATGGCATACTATGACAACATCTCTTCTTTATTTATTTCCTTCACAAGACTTACCAAATTCTAGTACTACACAGATTGTGGTTCTCAATTTACACGTCCCCCTTCAGTTGAAAGAAGCCTTGTAACCGCCTTAGCCAGCTGTGTGTTGACTGATCTTTGGCGTTGACCTTCGTGTTGTATGACATCTAATCCTTTTGGTGTGGAGGGAACCTAGGTAGTAAGTAAGAATGCGTGAGCCAGGGGGAATGGGGCCAATTCAGGGGGGTGGGGGGTGTGTGAGCCACTTAACCTGTGGCAAAAGTTTGGGCCTAAGTGTCTGGTGTCTGGCCTTGTGAGGGAGACGCAGAGGAGCAAAAGGATTAGATGTCACAACACTCTTTTGCGTTGGCCTTGGAGCAGCTTATTTACTATTGAAATTTGAACAAATATTCAAATGATTATAACTTTCTTCAAATATGACGAATTTTCAATCTGAAAGCAGATTTGGAAGTTTTGTGAAGAGCTTTTTTTAATCAGTATCGAAATTACAAAAAGTTATAAGAAATAACAAATTTAGGTCAATTAACGAGGAAAATTCGAGATGAGCACGAGTTTTTACACTTTCCGAAGCAACAACTTGCTTCATTTTCGTCAAATTCGAAAAGTTAATATGGCAGACAAAACTAGAAGATTTTCTCTATCAAACGGTTGCTAAAGCAGCTTCATACGTCCAGTATTAAAAAAATGGCCACGTCGAGGATTTTTGCCCGAGTACCGCCGAAAGGTACTTTTTCGTCTACGCATGTGGAATGCTTTACAAACGGACTATAAGCTCCTTTCAGGGCGATTACATACTGAAGTAGGAGCAGATTCGAATCCTCGTGCTTTTCTCTCCAAAAAAAGTGTAAAATTGTTTAGCGGGTCTCAACTTTAAAGGTTACATGCTTGTGAATTTGACGCTGAAGGCTGCGTTTCTTGTTGAATAGTGTACTCCTCCCTGTAATTTCACATGAACCCTTTCAGAATCCTCTTGATTTTTCCTGAATTGAGATTCTTTCTCCAGAGAGCCGTAGTTGAAGCGCGCGCAACCAACTGGGCCCACTCTGGGATGCGCCGTGTGCTTCACATCCCTTCAGATTCGAGGACTCACTTGAAAGATAAAATATCCCTTGGAAAACGTGCGAATTTCAGGATTCTTTAACTTGTGTGGTGATAAAACACTGAAGTAACTAAGAATTACGGACGCCTCAGAATCACGAAAATTTTGTGTGGGTGGAAATATCATTGTTATTGGAAATCCTCTGGCCTGGCATCGACTCATCCTTGATGTTTGTCCTCCGACGGTGATGATCCTACTGCATCAATCGGCCCGATCTCTTCCTCCCAGCGGGCCAATACGACCCCCCCTGACCTGTCGAGGATTCCTCAACGCACGCTTGACCCTGGTTGCAGGACTGCGGTGAAGTCGTCAGTTCCAAACTTTCAGCTATATTCCTTAACATCCCAGCAGAAACGCCACAAAAAAGAGACGTTTGACGGTTTGAAGAGCAAATCACAAACCTTGAGACAGGCCATTTAGGAAGGAATGGCGATCTGGTGGAAATGTTGGGCCATCATGTGAGATCGTCGCCACGGAAAATCACCAAAATTAAGACATTACGTATAATTTTTGATGCTCCTGACGTTCTCTAATGAAACCTGGTAGGTCCCCAGTTGGAATAGCCCTCCCGGCCATCCTCGGAAAAACAGAGTATCAGTTGACGATGATGAGAAATCGCAAAACCGCGAGGCCGCTTTGCTATAAGTGAGCGAAAAGCAAGTCATTGGTTCTAAAGGTCTATTCATATAATTTATTTAGACAGTGGCAGTGATGGCTTAGCGAAGAAGAACAACGATCTCATCCTTGAGTTCATTACCGATCTTTTCTATTGTATGTCGGCATTATTAATGCGTATTAATAAAGCTGAAGTTGCACAAATCTGAAGTAACGCTAATGCTCATTTTCGGCCATACAAAAAACTTAAAATGTCATCACCAATGATCATTTAGCATATCGCGTGACACCGCAGCGCGCCTTACTTCTTTTAGCGGAAATTGACGGACTACTGATGATAACTGTTTTTCCAGCACCTAGACCAGTTTACAGTTTGTCTCCCGCACTCAGGTTAACCGCAAATGCAGGCTTAGTGACATGTGGAATTGGATACTCAACACCATCAGCAACCATAATATCGATTTTTCGGGTCCTCATGTGTGCTACTGCCTCTCTTTAAAACAGTAGATCAATAATTAACATCCGTGAGGAAAAAACCCATATCTCGTATGCTTTTTGATGTTACTGTGCGATGGCTGGTTTTTGTTGCCAACTTTGCATATACGGTTCACCTGGGTGAGAGAGACAGAGTTTACTCGCTACCTTCAGGAAACACTTTCCTCGTATGCACACGAACTCTCACCCCTGGGGCCGTAAGCTATGCTTCCCCGAAGGGTTAGGGGACGAAAATTCCTTTAAATTTTCTCTGTCTCCCAACTGGGATTGTCCTGATAAAGGGCCTACATTTAATATATGTGTGTAGGTTAAAGTAAACATGCATTGAAAATAAAGAAACAGTATCGTTCAAAACAAAAAATTTAAAGGGACTTTCGTCCCCGCAACCATTCGGGGAAGCATACCTTACGGCCCCTGGCCGAAAGGAAAAGAACAGCTGGAAAAGTATATACTTAAACGCGAAACGCCCTTTCTTCATAGTTCAATATTGATTCTATATGTTGTCAAATCCAAGGAAAAGCTCTAGTTTGTTATTAAATACCCCAGCCTGACAGAAGAAAGAGCTTTGGATGTATCACAAATGAAATTACGTAGTCAACAACAAAAAGAAGTGAAAAA